TTGACAACTTCAAGCAACTCGAAGGCGAATCTCTATGCGTAGGATGGGGAAGATTTAAAGAACCAATCAGGAGATGTCCCCAATACGTTTTATCTAATGGCGAGAAGGTCCGAATTTTCTACAAAGGAGTTACTCCAACTTATCGAGTACTTCTTAACGCTGCAGCTGGAGGGAGTATCGGAGAAATCACTCCCACAAGGGCTATTGAACTAATTGAGAAGATGGCATCTGAAGACAACGATGTCACACCAGTTCAACCTAAGAAAGGAGAGTTGCAGTTAGATGGGTACGACGCTATGTTAGCCAAACAAGACAAGATGGATCAAAGGTTGGATTCACTTGTTAAACTCTTTACCCAAAATCAAATCTCTGCGGTTAATTCGCAATTTCCTGTAGTTTGCGACACTTGTGGTGGACCACACACTCCTGAAAACTGTGACGCTACAGTAACGATTGATCCGGCTCAGGTTCATGGAATCTGGAATAACCAGAGGAGAGAAAATCCTTATGGAAATACGTATAATCCGAGCTGGAGAAACCATCCTGGTCTGTCATACAAATCTGGGCATCAACAAAATAATACAAATTTCCAACAAGATCAACCTAATCAGAAAGCCGCTTGGGAAGTTGCATTTGAAAAGATGACTCAATCTCAAACATATTTCGCAGAAGAAACAAGAGCATCTTTTAAGAATCAAGAAGCTTCCATAAAGAATCTGGAAAATCAAATCGGTCAGCTTGCTAGACAGATGGCCGAAAGACCTCCAGGTAATTTTCCTAGTGACACTATCGTTAATCCTAAAGGACAGTGTAAAGCTATAACTACAAGAAGTGGAATCGTAATCACACCTGTAGAAAAGACTACCACTGCATTAAGCAGTAAAAACGACTCAGAAAAAGAAAAGCCTGCTGAAGAAAATGTTGATGGTCATGTTGATAGAGATGTCACAATTATTGGAGGACCATTAAATGATACCCCACGTAAAAAAGTCGTAAAGAAGCCTTCTTTGGAAGAACGAATGAAAGCGTTGGGAGACAACCCGTATGTTAAAGCCCCATATCCTCAAAGGCTAAAACAATCAGCACAAAAGCAGCAGTATTCTAAATTTTTAGAAATGTTTAAAAAGCTGCAAATAAATATTACATTCGTTGAAGCCTTAGAAAATATGCCAAGTTATGCAAAGTTTATGAAAAGCTTGCTTTCAAGAAAGCACAAGCTTAAAGAAGAAATGGAAACGGTGTCTTTGACAGCGGAATGCAGTGCTATTATTCAAAAGAAAATACCACCAAAGCTTCAAGATCCTGGTAGTTTCAGCATTTCTTGCACTATCGGGAATGTTCATGTGGGTAAGGCATTGTGCGACTTAGGGGCGAGCATCAACTTGATGCCACTATCCTTTGCCAAATCTTTAGGAATCACTGAACTAAAATCCACACTTCTGTCATTGCAACTGGCAGACAGATCTATAAAGAGGCCTGAAGGAGTGGTTGAAGATGTGTTGGTAAAAGTAAATGACTATATTTTCCCTGCACATTTTGTGGTTTTAGATATGGAAGCAGATACTGAAGTACCTCTTCTCTTAGGAAGACCTTTCTTAGCCACAGCTAGAGTCTTAATTGATGTTGAGCAGGGAGAGCTTCTATTTAGGGTCAATGGTGAGCAATTTACAGTCAATGTTTTTGAAGCCATGAAATGCCCAGAAGAAAAAGGTGATTGTTTTCAAATCGACGTGATTGACAAAGCTGTAGCAGCAATCACAGATGAAATTAATGCAACACCAACAATTGAAGAATTATTTGCTAAGATTTTACAAACTTCTGAACCGCTAAATGAAGCTTTGTTGGAAGAAGTTGTAAAAGCAATTGATATTGTCGTCGACGATGAGCCTGGATCTTTAGACCTTGAATCTCAAGAAAATAAGACAACAACTGTCCAAACACCTGAATTTCCGAAGTTAGAATTAAAAGAACTTCCACCCACCTTGAAATATGTCTACCTTGGCAATGGTGATACTTATCCAGTAATTATTAATAATTCATTGCTACAGGAAGATGAAGAAAAATTAATATGTGTTTTGAAAGAACACAAGACTGCTATTGGGTGGACCTTTTCAGATCTTAAAGGTGTAAATCCTTCTTTTTGTACACATAAGATTTTAATGGAGGATGAGGTCAAACCAGTTTGTCAACCACAGAGGAGATTAAATCCTACTATGAAAGAAGTGGTTAGAAAAGAAGTTGTAAAGCTTCTGGATGCGGGTATGATTTACCCGATATCAGATAGCAAGTGGGTAAGCCCGGTACAAACTGTTCCTAAGAAAGGAGGAAGGAAAAGAGAAAAAGGATTATTGTTTGAGTGTTTACACTTTACCATGATCTTTCTGTATTTAATTGTTTTAGCTAGTTTTTCCTTATTTATCTTACCTTCAACTCAGCCCCATTACAACCTGAATAAAGACCTCTTGATCTTTGTGCGTGTGAATTAAGTATGGAAAGTGAGAATATTATCAAGCTTATGAAAATATTGATACAGTGAAAATTTGAGTGAAACACTTACCCGGGTAAAATAAAATGATGCTAGCAACGGCGCCAAAAACTTGTTGACGAACTCGGCAAGTGCACCGGTCGTACAAGTAATAAAGTGATAAAGTAGAGTTGTCGATCCCACGAGGACTGATGACCAAGCAATAATCTATTTATTTAATTAAAGTTGGATCGATCATTAAAGGTTTTCTTGAGAATATTGTGATTAAAGTAAAAACAGAATTTATAAACTTATTTTTGGTTTTTAATATTTTAGAAATTTAATTCAGAATTAATTAAAGCTAAAAGAAATTGATTTAAGTTTTCAATAAAAAGGCGTAGTTAGGATTCAACTTCCCCAATGGTTTCTTAACGAGTTTGCTTATTCTTACGATTACATTCAAGATTAAATTATTAACAGCTCTTTCTATAATTAACTAAATCTCAATCCCTTGGTAATTTAATTCTTTATTCTAATCCAAAGCCTAATCCCTTAGTACTTTTTCATAAAACAAGCATTAACGCAAGAACTCACAGTTATAAAATTCACAAGTCTATCCCTAGATCATGTAAATTCCAGCAATCAACCAATCAGAATCACATACCAACATCCCTATTGTCATATATGACTCATGTGTTTATTTACGAGTGATCAAGTCATAAATAAAACTAAGCATAAATATCAGATTGATTGCATAATTTAGAAACAAGAATGTAATTCATAAGAATAAACAAACATCAACTAAGAACCCATTGGTTCTGTATCTTCCTAACTACTGAAAGTAAATTAGCTAGACATAATTATAAATGCAGAATTGAAATAAACAGTAAAAGAAATAAGGTTCATCGTAAAACTTGATTAATGGAGACAAATGATGATGCAAATTGCATTCGTTCCTTCTCCTCTGCAATGCTCCAGCATTCCTCTTCGCTCCTGCCTTCGTCTTTGTCTCTGACTTCGTCTTTCTCCGTGTTCCAGAATGTATTTTTACGGCTTCCTTCGCGTTGTATTTAAAGGGAAAACATTGGCTATAATTTCCTGAATCCGCTCGCTGAGGAGCTCGCTGAAGCGAGCAACTCAGCGAGCACTTGTTACTGGTCGCTCCCTTACTCGCTGGTGCGAGGACTTTTTCGAGATACTCGCTCATTCGCTCGCTTTAGCTAAGAACTTTGCGAGCTGCTCGCCCACTTGCTCGCTTTAGCGAGCAGTGGAGCGAGCGTTACCAATTTTATTTTATTTATTATTTAATCTCTGATTTCCCCGTTGCTCCGCGTATTCGTTGCCTCATTTTGTTACTTTGTTATTCCAGTATTCCAATCTCAACAACCTGAAACAACAACAAATATTTAGAATTTGTTTATTTGTTGGCAATTCATTCTGTTTTACTGTTTTATTGTTTTAATACTATATTTTTAACTATTTTAATAATTATTTAAACTCTTTTTAGCCATAAAAACATAGTGTCTTAGACACTTATCAGTAGGCATAAAATTTCAAAAAATACCCGGGTAGGGAGAGGTGTACCCGGGTAAGTTTGGTGGTCAACGGTCAAACAGGGGCAGATCAGTGTTATGTTTGTTAGGGAGGTTAAATTTTTGAAATAGTTTATAATAAAGGTCAATTTGGTAATTAATTATTAATAAAAGATTATAAGGGTCAAAAAGCCTCAGAATATGACAGGTTGATTTAAATTGGGTTGGTTGAATTAGATTTAAACCTGAATTTGTGTGCAATCCTAAGCCCATGTTATGGTTTGGGAAGGCTACCCCAAAACCACAACTTAAGCTTGCTAACCCAGCCTTTTAAGATTGCTGTCAAAATTAAATTTTTTAAAAAAATTTAGGAAGAATATACAAATTAAATAGAAGAAAATTTTCAAAACATAGCTGAACAAAAAACTGAAACCAAAGAAACCAGCAGCCATTTCCCATTTCCCGTTTCCATCAAGCAAATGCAAATGTACTCAAACGAAACAGAATTTCACTGATCAATTTCGTATCCTTGTAATGAAAAGCCAACAGTTTCTTGTAGATCTTTTGATTTTCGATAGCTAGACTTGTCACCTTGATTTGTGGGGAAAGGAATCAGAATTCTTAAACCAGTTTTGAATCTTGAAAAACCCAAAAAAGAACCTACACACTACACTAATCATAATCACATCTGACTAAGGGAACGTTTGTTTCTGCTTTTTAAAAGATAAAAATTAGTCAAAAAACAAATTAATTTCTTTTATGATAGTTAAGTTTTTTTTTTTTTTCAAAGGGGTTTTCCAGTTTTAAATTCTCTTTTAACCAGCTTGGGCTTCACAGTGTGTCCTCATCTAAAAACAATGCATAGGCTTCCTCTTTATAAGAATTATATATAGGATAAATCCATCGTACAACTAAGGATGGGCAATAAACTGCCCCCACAAGAATAAAAGAAAATAACATTGGAGAATTGCTAAAGTCTCCCTTTTATGTTAGAGATTATAATGTGATGATAAACAAAAGTACAACCTATATCATATCTCCAATTGAACATACAAAGCAATTCACAACATAAAAAGCCGCTATAAAGCATAGGCTTCCAACCAAAAAAACTACCAATTCATGCTACATAAAAGGCGAAATATGGATTTTTCTAATGATAGGTTTATTCAAAATTATTCTTTCCACATATCTGCAAACTCGTCAGGCTCTAGAGGATTAGACATCTCATGCATTTTCCTCCTTGTCTTTGCTTTGACCTTCTTTGAAAACTTTCCAGCCTTCTTCCTCTTCTCCAACGCTCGAATCTACAAGAACAACATATAGTTATTTTCAGCAGAAAACTAGAGAAATAAGTATATATGGAGAATATATTGATTCGTACCTGATTTGGTGAAACATAGAGTGGATTCTCATATAAAGTTGGGCCTCCAAAACTGCCACCAAAGATTTTAATCGGGTTCAAGCAGAATCGCGGACCAACCTAAACAAGTAGTTTGCACACAGCGGTTAAAGTAAAATATTAGAAATTGGCAGATGAAAACATAAATCAATAAGCTAATGTTAAGACCTCAATCAATGTCATTTTATCAAGGCCTCCTCGTGGTAACTTGTCTGACTCATTATGAGGAACAGAGATCTGCATTGGAATAAAGATGTTATTTTGTATGTAACATTGCTCAGTAAGCATTAGTCAAGAAGCAGAAAATAAGACAACACTGGCATGGCAAAGCCATGTTCACAAGTAACCACTTGTTTAATGGTGATGTACTTGCAGTAAATGACACCACTATCTCATTTAATTTATTAAGACAGCTCAATACATCATGAAATAAATAAAATTAAATTCATTAGATTAATATGTAATTCATAAAATGCATGAACAAGTAACTCCAGTATACCAATCAATAATGCATTAGCAGGTGGTGGATGCGGTGCATAAGACATGCAGATCTATATCAAATATGTATTTTCTTTTGTCCAAATCGTAGTGTAAATAATGTAATTACATAATAACAGCATCCAGCGGTTGAGTCCTGAACCGGTGGCTCATAGATATACCCTTAGAGGGTGTAGTATGTTGATCTAGGGGTACTTCCAGCAGCCATGGTATAGACCAAGGCTCTGTTAAAGCTTCCCATGTATATCAGTATCAAAGGAGGAGTGTGTGAGAGTGGCTAAGATGTGGTATCATTTGTGCAAAGTTAATATATATGAAGTGAGTAGAGAAGAAGATCCTCCTTTTCCCCAATGTGAGAGGGGCGTATTTAGAGAGGAAGTTCCCTCTCGGTCAAGCGTGGGAGAGAAGTTATGTGGCTGTACCACCTAGCTAGCCTAATTACTGAGGCTAGGCTTGCTGCCCTACTGTCATTGTGCAGTGGGCAGTAGTGCATAGGAATGAGGGAGAATCCTATGTTGTCCTCTAGAAGTGGACTTTGAGTGTTGACCCAACTGGTGGACTTGTAAATATGGGCTGGCCTAAACAAGTCCACTAACGACATTTTTAAGAATACAATGCAAATGACCATTCTCACAGGCTCGCACAGCCATCAAATGAAAATAAGATTTGATTCGATCAACACTAATTTGGTAAGGCTAAGCAATAATTAAATGAATAAAGTGGATCAGTAACATGCATTCCATAATACAATAAGGATTTAATTTTGACCCATTGGCAGTTTTAGGAGTTTTACACTACCAGTGAACCATATGGAGCCACTAATTCAAAACAGAAAATCAATTGATGACTTCCCTGCAATCTTAACTTGTGCAACTTTTTAGTTCATTGATATTATAAAAGGATTTACATTGATAGCAGATAAAATCAAGACTCTTATCATAATAGCCCTTATTCTCTGCCTTCAAAATTGTTGTGTTTAAGCATTCTTATTTCATATAAAGTCTATTTGTCAAGGAACCCATAGCTAATCCTTCAAATAAAAATGTTTAGAACTCGGCTACATTCCTCAGTAATGTTCCCAAGAAAGAAAAAATTTAGATTCTTCATCTGAAACAACTTCACTTCAGTCAATAAGCCTGGCTAACCAAAACAATCAATATAATAACAATCAAAATGTTCACACTTTTTGTTTGTTTAGTAGGTGGAATGAATGTCCAGAACAACAGATCTCGGTACTTAGCGTCAAAATTAATGCAAATTTGTAAAAGACGCACATGCCAATTCTTTAGATCTTGTGCAAATGAAAAGACAAACCTGGTAATTCCGGAACCATATATGATCATCAACTATTGAGAAAACAAAAACGTGATCATGGAAAGGCTTAGTCTTTCTATGGTCCTTGGGTGTTTCAAATACCTGAACGAAAGAAAGACAGAGTATGTCAGCAATAATCAAAATTGTGTGTATTTTACAATTTAATCACACGAAATACACACAAAAAATCCACTGACCACACTCAAATTCAATATTCAGGCCAAAATATCAGAATTAGAGAAAATTGTGAATAGGAATACATGAATGCAAAAGATCTCCACATCCTGCTCAATTTAAACTATGCCAAAAGAAGAATATAACATTAATCATAGTAGTTAATAGCGCAGCAATAGCACCGCGATCCGCACCGTATGGGCGTTGCGGTGCCTCGCAACAAGAAACCGCGTTGCGCTGCACCGGAACGCAATAGCGGCCATTGCAATCGCTTTTGCGGCCAAATCCCAGCCATATTGCTGTCATAAGGAAAAATGCCAATGTTGTCTTAAATTTAAATGTGTAACAGAAAATTTTTAAGGGTTTTTTAGCCTATCTGCGTCTCTCTCTACTTATGCTATCTCTGCCTTTAAAAGATGTTTCATTTTGTCATTATTTCTGTCATATATTTATTCTGCTATTTTCGCAACCGCAATCCGCTATAACGCTGTAGCGTTTCTCGGGGTTGGCCGCGACGTGCCACAATCCGCATTTGATAACTTAGACATTAATAGAATTTTCTCTGGTCAGTAATAATAATTTAAGAAAATACTCATAGGAAGATATGTGATAACTGTAGTATAAGATCACAAATACAGAAGTGCACATAAAAAAATTTCAATTAGACTAGGAAGAAGTTATCACCAAGAAGCAACAAAATAAGATGACATCATCAAACTAACCTTTACACTTGTATATGAGATGATATACACAAGAGTAATCAACATGTTGATTAGTGATTCCCTAATCTTTATTTCAGATGAAACTAGATAGACAATAAAGAAATACTACTTACAGGAAAGAAAAAATCAAGTACCTGTAACAACATTTCCTTTAACAGTTTCCAATGCGCATCTTTTTCAAAATTTGCTGAAAATGTCAAAATAGGGCGGGAACCGCTTAGGTGATTCCCAGTTAGCTTCAATTCCTCCATTGTGTGCACTGGAAAGCAATAGAGAAAAAAGAGAGATCAGTAAAATGGCATCAGAAAAAGTTAGAGAAAGAGAGAAACACAAACAATCATAATTCAACAAGAAGAATGAAGAAAAAGCGTACAGAGCCCAAACATTACATCATCATAGCAAACAAATTAGTATTTAGTAACTTACGATAATAATCAGATGAGAATATTACCAGCACTAACTAAAAATTTTACAGACGGGCCACCGGGGCATTTCGCCATCCAGAGATAAAGATCTTTATGCTTCCTGCACTGAAATTTATATACAAAAAAGGGGAGGAGATGACAGCAATCAGAATGTAACAAGTTGACCAGATTCAAAGTCTGACTTAGAATTAGAGTGCATAACGGAGCTTCAGTGCAAAATATTGCCCCACTCGTCAGAGTTCAGATTAAAACAACTGCTTAAATACATGGAAAAGCCAATTTGGGAGATGGGTGGGTGGGAGTACAGGCATGTTATGATTTAAAATGGGTAAAACACAAATAGATAAAATATAAAAAAATTCAGATACTTAATCCTATCAGAAAAAGGAAGTGATCATATAGATTCAAAAGTAGCCAACGATAACGTAACACATCTGAATAATGTCACCAACATTTGTGACCAATGAAAGAATTCCTTAAACCATAAACAGGCAGAAAAATTTCTAACTCAGCAATAGCATAAACATAATGATGCATATACTTATCTAGCTAACAACAGCATGACACATCGTACCTAATTTAACCTAAGATGGCACTGAAAAACCTTGCGACATAAAAAAGAATACCTCAAAAAATAAACAAGAGGAACAGTTTTTGAGCTCAACAAGCTCGTTCAGAGTGGCTCCTTTAGTTTCCTTTGATTCAACCTTGTTATCCTTCTTGCAATGAGGCAAAAGCGAGACCAAATTCAACATCAAATGACGGTACCTATAAAATAATGCAAAACACTCCACCCCATCAACACTATATACAAAAAGCAACCCACAAGAAAAAAACAAAAGTTTCTCTGTGCTTAATTTTACCCAAAACAAAATCTTTTTGATAATAATTTATTTGTTCTGAACACAAAATAACGAATCCAAACTCCAAACAAGCACAAACTCTGAATCTAAAACAAGATATGGTTCTGTGTTTGTACCTGTAATTGATTCGCCTTGAGCAAGTGACCAATACCTTCTCTTTGTTCCTAAATATTGGTGAATCACCATTACCCTTAATCTCAACCTCAACATCATCATTGACTTCATTTTTATCCTTCCATCCCAAAAGGGTCCTGGTTGGTCTCTCTGGAGCGGCATCTTCCTTTTTGGGCAGTGCCACAGCTTCAGTAGTCTCATTGTGCTTTCTCTTCTTCCCCATTTTTCTGTTAAAAATCTGTCATACCCAACAACCAAAATCACCAAAAAATAACATTTTGACAATAACCCACTTGCCTTCTTCATCTCAAAGAACAACCTCACAGCCCCACACACACACACACAAAAAGTACCAGTGGTGGCAACAGAACAACAAAGGCATGCACGAGAGAAAGGAAACGAAAGAAGAGAAAAAAGAGAGAAGAAACGTGCCTGGCTTTTTTCAGAGGAAGGAGATGAAGGATGAGGGTCGAACTGTTGGTAGCGTTCGCCGGCGGCGTTGGGCGGCGATGAATGAGTTTTGGCAAAGGCAGAAGAGGGTTTTGTACTTTCGAAAGGGAGTATAATACAGTTGGGCCCTATTTGGGCCAATGTTTTGGGCCAATTAAGCTAGGTTTATAAAAAGCCCACGTGTTTGAGTTTTGTGTGTTATGATTCGGTTTTCATTAATCTGTAGAGCATTGGTTTCCAAGTCAAGCTTCCAAGTTCCAAGGATTTCTAAAACCAACATTGTGCTTATTAACACATTGTAACGAGGTGTTTTAAGGGGGGGAACTCAAAGTGATACAAGATAAATCTATAAATCCTTATCCATTTAGAAATTCTGTTTAAGATCCAAATCTGAATTGTTAGGTGATTGATCAATTTGCCTTTTCTTTTAATAAAAATTTCTTAGTTTTCCCCATTTTTAAATTATATATCAATTTATTGATTAAATTTGACCGATATTTCCTTAAATAAAAATGTCACTTAAGTTCACCGACATTTCTTTGAATAAAAGTGTAACTTACTTGGGTAAGAATAAAACACTCGTTTATTTGAATGAATAAATCATTTACTTAAGTAAATGGTCAGCTAAATTTTAATTTTATTTAAAATAGATTGATATATAGTTTGGAAATAAAATATATAAATATACAATTTAAGGATTAACGAAGAATAATATTATAGAATGTAACATTGCTTTCTCGCATACACATCAAATAAGTAGGGTCCATGTGTTTATTTTCTCATGTGATTATTTTTCTCTCTCATTATTTCACTTTTTTTTCTCTTATTTGATATGTGTGCAGGAACACAATCTTACACCATGTAACATTATTCTTTTAACCCATAGCTAGAGGAAAAATGATAATTTTTTTGTTTTAAAAGGGATAATTTGGTCAAGGAGCTGATAAGTCTCTAAAATGAGACTTAAATCTCTTATTTGCTGACCTTAAAGTGTAGTAGATAATGAATTGGACATTCATATTTAACGCATTTCCAAGTAATTTGAATGTTTTAGCGATATGTTGTCATTTCAGGGAAAACAAGGAACTCAAGATTGAGATGAGCCCAAGCAAGCAAAGAAGAAAGCAGAGTGCAGCCCAACTCTTCAATCTTTTGAAAGGCAATATGGAAATTGAGTGAAGAGGAATAAAGACCAACAAGTTAGCCCAATCAGCAATGTTCAAAAGGGCAAAAAGGGAAATGAGAAGATTCTAAGGACAGAAGTAAGAAAGGAAGAAAGAAAGAAAGAAAAATCGAGAGCCACACATTTCAATCAAAAAATAGAACCAACACATCAAAACCCTAACCCTCTCTTCCTGGTTCGTTTGGTCATTCAAACACACCCAAATCAAACTCGAGCCATCATCCCTATATGATTTTGTTGAACCCTCGAGCCACAAGACCAATCCTTAGTCTCATCTCACCCAAACCCCAGTTACCAAACCCACAATTAGAACCTTTTCTTTGAGATATAAAAGAAGTGGAAAAGCTATTATCTCGATATAGTCTATGCCTAGTTAATTTTAGTTTTAGCTTGTAATTCTTTTTTTAGTTCATTTAGTGTTTTGAGCTCATTCCTTATTCCTTATGGACATGAGCTAAATTTCAAAAGGTTGAATCTAGCTGATATCTAAACCTCAGTGTTTGGATGGATGTTAATTATCTGAATTTTTAATATTTTATCTCAGTTGTTTAATGTTGTTTTTGTTGTGTAAACTTTTAGCATTTCGGCCAAATGTTAGAAGTTTATTTAGGAATGAATTGTGGGAAAACGACACATTCTGGACTTTGTATTAAGCCAATGGAATTGAACTAGAGATCATTAAAGGAATTTCACTTAGATACGAAGGTATACTCCATGTAACATTGGACTTGTGTTTCAAGAGTCCTAAATTCATTTGGCATAGGAATATGTAAGTAGTTGATTTTGGATAAAATAATTTTTAAGAGATTAAAAATTAATAAATGAGTTCCGTTGACTTGGAACTTTTGAATGAACAACTCGTTATGTTAATCTATTCATTTTTTTTAAGCACTATTGGGGAGGGAAAACCAAAGACTGAGCCTATTTCTCTACATATTTTCACAAACTTTTATTTCTTATTTTTCTTCTTGATTTCATTGTTAATTTCTGCTTTAAATTCTTTACATAAACCTTTTACAATAGAAAAGAAAAACAAAATACATTTCCAAGTTCAATTACTCATTACATTAATCAATTGATTTTTGATTCAATTATCAAATCTTTCAAAAACAGAAACATTTTTAGCTAGTTTAGTAAAGCATATTGTTGTTTTGATTTTTTATTTTTATTTTTACTTTTAGTTTTATTAGTCAAAATTCTGATACAGCAATTACTATTTTAATTATATGCCCTGTATTATTTGTTGTCGTATATACTTACACCCTACTTACATAAACATTAGCAAGACAATAGGAGCCAAATGTTATTGTGATGGAATCGCATGAAAAAAACAAACAGAAGACTAAAAAACCATGAAGTTGCTATTGACAAACATAGGCTATAAAAAGTTGATAAAAACGGCCAAATGAAATACAAAGTAAGGTTAAGGGAACATATCAGGTTAATGCTCAACGATTTAGTTGAAGGAATATCATGCAAACGCTTTTAATTTCCATCTCAAATGAAATACAAAGGATATGTAATATAAGATTTTCTTTCAATGTGATGAGAGTTCTAGAGGAATCAATATGACCCTCCACCACGTAGTAAAAATGTAATGTTTTTTGTCCCCTTACCAAGTGGTACAGTTCGTGTTTTAGATTGAAAAGTGCTACAGAAAAGTTCCCTGGTACTTTTTTGCCATCATGGAAGTGAATATTTCACAAAAAGTAGGAGGAAAACAAAAACTTTATGTGTTTGGTATAGTAGAATTTTTTTGGTGACCGGGAATCATGATTAATGGGAATTCAGTAGAAATTGAGTTTACTTGGAATCTTACGAAAGATGTGTTTGGTTCGCCAAAATATTACCGGAAATACTGGGTAAAAATTACTGATTCCATATTTGGTTTAGAACGAAATATGACTTGGAATATGAGGTTATTTTACAAAAATAACCCCAAACTATTTTTACTTTTGTAATTGATAGATTGGGTCTAGATTTTTATGTGTATTGGGGTATTTTTGTCTCAAAATTTATTGTTTTGCTTTCCCTTTACTTGGTATTCTGATTGGTATTCTGAATTACCATATTATTTTTGGTAATCTGAATAGTGACTTTTCTTTATAAATCAAATTACCGGTAATCCTTGGATATCCGGGAATCATAATTTATTCCTTCTACCAAACGTGATAATTACATTTACCAAAGAAGGATTACCGGTAATTCTCTCCAAAAACTTGAACCAAACACCCCCAATATTAAATTGAATCTATGGAAAGACATTCATAACCATGAGATTGATATATACCCATTGGGTAAGAAGTGGAACCCTGAATCAAGCCAATGCTTATTAAGTTTCAGGTTGTCACGGTCAATAAATATTGGAATAATCAATGTCTGCAATGCTATTTGCCACACGTAGTTAGTGATATAGCAGTCACCAATCATTACCACATTTCATGAGTGCAAAGCAATGATACCATACCGGAATAAAGGGTGACCGATTGGAATATTCCTTCTTTAACTCCGTATCTTAGAAGTTGCGTACTTGCATAATATACCCATAGTATTTGGTATGGTTACTATACTCATCTCAAATCACTAGTATAACTCTTGTACCTTTTTCTGAAAAATTAGAAGACCGTTTATTTTGATTTTGAACTCCGTTAAGTTAGTTTAAAAGGTGGTGAACTTGGATAAAACCTTTGGTTCAACAGGAATATCTGCATCTCTATTAAAAGAGAAAAGTTTTTGGGACTTAATGAAAAATATAAAGAAAAATATGTGTTGAAATAAAAAAAAAATTCTCAATTTAATAAAAGGGGATATCGAATTTGGTACTACCGCTGTATTGAAGAAATTTCCGTGAACTTGAATGATGATCCTATTTTTTTGTGATTAAAATATTATGAGTTTGAATCGAGAAATAATTCTTTTGCATTATAAAAATAAAACTGTGTATGAGTATTTCTTTCATCCTTAACTGCTAGTCGAGTTTTAATTTGAAAAGTAATTTTTTCTTGTTGTGTGGAAATGTTTTATGGAATGTTTAGTTCAACAAAAATGCTGTGTAGACATTTTTATTAAAACTTTAGTTTTATTAATATTGAAAGGGACATTAATCCTCACCAATAGAAAAGAAAGATAACATTAGTTTACCAAAAAAGAAGAATATAACATTAGTCATTTAACCCCCAAGGGTAGCTCAGTTGGCAAGCTGAGCTCCCAAGGGATTGCTTGGTGCAGGGATCAAACCCTGCCTCAAGCAGTTTCTTGAAAAATCTTTGGGGGCCAGAGGATAAGTCAAAAATCTTCGGTTGGGGGATTAGTCCCGTCCTTGTCGTATCCTGAGGGCATGGTGCCCGGAGAAGGTTGAATGGGAATACCTCCTGGCAATGTACAAAAAAAAAAAATTTGTTATGGTTGACAAACTATAGGAAAGTTATTCTTACTACCAAAATTTTCTACTACCAACTCACTACCTATCTAATCACCATTAGATCAACATTTTCTCTTTTTTCAAAAACTTTTTAGCATTCTCTCTCTTTGATTCAATGGTGATTAGATAAGTAGTAAGTTAGTAGTAAAAATATACTCCCTAGACAAACTAATAACTAGCATTGGCTCTTCAAAACAATAGTATCATGAAGGACTGTTGTTAAATTGCACTGCTCTTCAAAACTACCTCGTTCTTCAGATTGAGAGATTGGAAAATCGGAATATATTTTACAGAAGCATATAAAAAGGGTGAATTCGGGAATAAAAACACAATTATAACAAAAAAAAAAATTTGAGAGGCTAGAGAGAAGAGAGGATAATTTTGATAGATAGAGAGAGAAAGAGAGACTTAAATTAATAGAGAAAAGTGGGAATACAAGGGTGAGAAATTAATTGAGGAAGACGAGAATTGGATAATAGTTGGGAGAAAAATATTTTCTTCTTATTCTTTGGATTGGTCTAGAAACAACCATCTTACAAGAATAAGGTTGCGTATAAAAATTGTCATTACCTCACAGTGCTAGTTCAGCGGGGTTAATTGGGGAGTGATTTTTTTTTTTTTTATTCTTTCCATTGACCCACATTGCCCTTTATAACAAAAATAATACAATGGAATGGTATAAAAGTATAATAAATGATAATCTTAACTGATATAAATCACAATTGATTCATATCCGTCTAATTCTAATTGACTACAATAAATGAAATTAAATACAAAAATATAATAAATCCTAATTGATACTAATCATAATTAATTGACATCTGCTAACCATAATTGATATCAATCACTATTAATTGATATTGTATAATCCTAATTGACTACAGTAAATAAAATACAATGATTCAATAAATCCTAATTAATACCAACCATAATAGTCTCAATCTAATAATTAGTTAAAAATTATATCATTAACAATGGTTGATACATTCGAAGTCACAGAGGGGTCCCCAAAAGAAGCTGCACTTCTTTACTTTTATAAAAGGTGGCATGAGATACAAGTAGAACAAAGTAGAACTCGTGAAGGTTATTGTTGCATATTCATAAGAATTGATACCTCATGTTTGATCTGTATGTCACTCAAACTACACATTCAGATGAGATGAGCTTCAGACAGGTACATGCACCCACGAAATTGATTCTAAAGACAAAAAGAACACTGATTCCTATAGACTTCTTTTTTTTTTTGAGAAAAAAAAATTTTCATTCCACGAAAAGGTTCTAACATTTCTTACCACACATCTTTGAAATTTTAGATTAATATTACAAAAAAAAAAAAAAAAAAAAATCTATTACATTCCATGTTTGGATCTTATAAGGAGAGACTTACAATCTAAGTAGCCCTTTCCACGATCCGACTCTCAACGAGAGCATCAAATGATGCGGATCCATGGGATCACAATCCCAAAAACTAGATTAAAGGGTAAGAGTATCAAAGGTCTTATAAATCTCAAACTAGTTGCCTACTCAATCAACGTGAGACCAGAAAAAAATTTAAAAAAAAAAATCGCAAGCAAAACTAAAATACAACTCCTGCCTTGAGGCAGAGCTAGTAGCACAAACTAGGCAGAGATTTGAAACATCCAAATCTGCCATAACATAGCTCAGATCAGATTATCAGAAGATTCAAAGAGAAAACATATTAAATGCACATCTAAAACGTTTGATAATTAATGGCATACCTAAAATGTTGCTAGGCTTTCCTCATAGGCTTATAATGGATGAGAAGGATCTATACATGGAGTGGTAGATCTTGTATCTGCGTTTAGTATAGTAATTATACCATTTATTTACTATTGGAATATTAATGCAACTTCTTGTTAGGAATCCATTTTATACGGAGTTAAAGAAAGAATATTCCAATCGGTCACCCTTTATTCTGGTATGGTATCATTGCTTTGCACTCATGAAATGTGGTAATGAATGGTGACTGCTATATCACTAACTACGTGTGGCAAATAGCATTGCAGATATTGATTATTCCAATATTTATTGATCGTGACAACCTGAAACTTAATAAGCATTGGCTTGATTCAGGGTTTCTCTTCTCACACAATAGGTATATATCAATCTCATGGTCATGGATGTCTGTCCCATAGATTCATTTTGATATTAAAGGTTTTTTTTTTTTTCTACTTTGTGAAATATTCACTTCCACGATGCAGGAAACTTTTCTCTAGCATTTTTTTTTTTTTAATAAATCACATATATCTTTTACCGTTCGAGAATGGAATATCCATATCATGATGAAGCTAGCTGTCCTAAAGAAATTTTTTTGCATTCACAAGAACTTAAACTCAATACATTGATTAACCAGAATCAAGTATGTACCACTTGAATCAACTCTTGGTTTTTGTTTTGCACTTTCAATTTACAATACGAAGTGTACCACTTGGCAAGGGGACAAAAAAACATTACCTTTTAACTACGTGGTGGAGGGTCATGTTGATTCCTCTAAAGCTCACATTACATTGAAAGAAAGTCTTATATTACATAATTTTTGTGTTTGATGTATATGGCAATTGAAGCGTTTGCATGATATTCTTCAACTAAGTAGAGCATCAATCCCTACTCGCAGCCATGCTTTCACTGGAAAAGTTCTTTATTTGTTTCTTTAATCTATTCTCCATTTTCCCAATCCAATTATCTATCAACTAAAACAATCAAAAATCAGGTTAAAGCTGAAGTTTGAAAACTATGTTCATGCGTTTTGTATGTGATAAATCCATCATCACATTTGCAGAACTTTTCAAAATCTAAAGTATTTTAGCAGCTATGGCCAAAAGAAGATCATCCAAAGACATCTCTTTTCATCTTTTACAATATGCCAAAAGCCCTGATGATCTTTATATGATATAGATTCATTATATGCAGAGGAATGATAACGATGAAAAAACAAAATTAAATAAAGAGAAGGAACAGAGAGAGGAGATATAATTAACATGCTTTGGTCTTTGGCCTTCTTACAAGCACAAAGAAATGATTAAGTAATTGTACGCATAATTATTAAACTCTCCACTTTTCCATTCTCTCTCTCTCTCTTTTTTTTAAAGTATAGTCGGATCAGGATGGTGAGTATATCAACCAAAGTTCAAGCCAAAATCAAGTTCAGTGCACCTGAATGAATATTGTACAAATTTCCAGGTGGGGGGAGCTTCTGTAAATATGAGACATTCATTGAACATGAAGCATTTTCCGTTGAGATATATAGTCTCACATTGGTTGTATGTGCAACTAATGTAGAGTTTATAAGGCCTTGGGCACTCCCACTCTTTGAGCTAGCTTTTGGGGTGGTGTATCCCAAGGTTCTTTACATGATATCAGAGTCTCGCCACCCCCCACTTTCTCTTGTGGCGTTTCTTAGCACAGGTAGGCTGGGCCTGTTGCATTGTCCACACTTCAAGCCCAAAAGGCTCTCGTGTGAGGGGACGTGTTGAGATATATAGTCTCACATTAGTTGTATGTGCAACTAATGTGGAATTTATAAAGCCTTGGACACTCCTACCCTTTGAGCTAGCTTTTGAAATGGTGTATCTCAAGGTTCTTTACATTTTCAACAAATCGAAATTGGAAGAAAAAAAGAAAAAAAACTTCTTGTCATATGCCTTGTAACTAGATGTTTAATCTTAAGGGTGAACTTGTGGTGATGATAATGAGTTTTGGTCCCTAATTAATTGGATTAAAGTGATTACTAATTGTACCAGATGAGATGACAAAATAACACAAGTCAGAGTTTAGATACAAGCAAAGGCAGGACGGAAAAGCAGGTGTTGTCGGCCTTTCCGCTGCTATTGGTTTACCGCTACAGGATTTGCGCTCTCCAAGCAAGCATTAAGATAAAAGTTATAGGTTGGTTATCATCTTTATATTATATCAATTCTTATTCTAGCAATTACATAACCATGACAAAATTGAGAAAATCAAAATTTTCAAAATATGTTGACTGTAATTTAATAACTTAATATAAGGACTGTATTTACAAATAGCAATCTCATTCAAAACAGTAAAACAAATTAATAAAGCATATATCTGATTAGTGCAATTGCGAGTAATTAGATTACACGAAAAAAAAAAGACAGTATCAGTAGAATAACTTGGTAATAACACATAAATTGGTTGCCATTTTCTATTGATCATGTTTCTCAACCTTCTTCTCTGTCTTCAGTCCTTTTGTTCAACAGCATACTCAGAAAGAAGGAACAATGCCATATCCAACTTCTGTGATTAGTGTTGTGGAGAACATCTGATCCACTTCAGCATCTACATCAGTTCTCTTGGCAAATCGACCTTTTATACGGGGTCTAGTCTCTGCATAGGCCTTCCTTGAGGCATACCTGATTGTCTTCTCAAATTTCCTTGTCTTCTTTTTCTCCCTATACCTTAGGACTCTGGCCTCTCTGTCCATTGGAGTAAGATGAGAAGGCATCTGAATGGGAGGTCCAGAAAAAAGGTCAATTGTTCCTTTGGGGGGTCTTGAATGGGCAATTGAGACATCCCTGATTGTTGATTCTGGTACAACACCAACATCCATTGATGAAACTGAAACCTGATTTTCAACAAAAAAAGAAAGAAACAAAAATTAGTTACCAAAAAGCAAGAGATATCAAAAGTTTATGAGATCACAAGTTTAAGATAAATTTTCTAAGCAGCACTAGTGGCCTTATCCATGAAGCTGATAGAATCCACTTACAAAACTTGTTAGTTATTGCTTCATGGTAAAAGGAACACAAAGTATATACTACAACATAAATTTTGAAGGAAAGAAAGGTGACTACAACTGCATATCCGAAATATAAATTAATGAAATATGGCCCAATATTTGGAAAAATAAAAAAGCAAAGGCAGAAAGTTTTCTTGGGTATATTGGGGAAAACAATCTTGGAACCATTTCTAGCAAGAAAGCGTGACACCTAGGCCTTAGATTCCTTCCACTAAAGAAAAAAAAAAAGTGAAAAGAAAAAGGGTAAAGAGAGCTGAAAAGTTATAGAAAGAATCAGAGACCCCATTTCTGAATAAACTTAAGCAATCATAAGATCGGTACAAGTGTCAGTGTAATTAATGGCAAACGATGCAGTAGATAAACCAGGTATACAGAATTTGAACCAGAAAGTTAAGGCGTTTGGTTGAAGGTTTCTTATAAGTTAGACATGCATCTTAATATGTCATTTTTGGACTTTCTTGTTTGGTTGAAGTTTTTAAAAAATTTAGCTACGTATCTATTTTGCCTAGCCATCTACTTTTGTGTGAAAAATGTGTGAAAAATTGAAGGAAAAAATACTATTGAAAATACCTCTTTCAATTTCAAGTTGACTAGGCTAACGGTATTTTCAAATTGTGTGGATGTCAAAAATACGCTCTTCTATTACACAATAGCGTTTGCTACAAGGGTTATTTTATAATTTGAAGTTATTTTTTCCATCTATATTTTACCTCAAACCAAACATAGACTTTATAAATCTTACATAATTTGTCAGGTAAAAGTTTTTTTAACCAAACAACTTTTTTTACATTTTTCTACCAAACTCAGTTTTCAATTACATTTTTCTAGTATTCAAAAAATTTGTCGTGAAGCAAAGGCACCTAAGTTGGCATTGAACATGCCTGGAAAAGAAACTGATTGTGAATCCAACTATGGCAAAAACCATATGCCACTTCAAAAGTAGACACACACCACAAGTCAACTCAAAATCAGATAATATATATATATACCAAATCAAACCGCCCAAGAGTTTGATTTAGACTAATTTGAGGTTCACATGAATCAAACAGCTGTAAAATCCAATTTTGAAAGAGTGCCAACCAACCCAGAAGAATTTGCAAACAAAACCAGAAAATAAATTAAACAGTAAAATCTTTTATTAAACAGGTGAAATAAAATAAAAAAAGGGAATTGAAGAGGCTTACACTTTGACTAATAGAACCAGTGTAACTGAACCCAGCTTTGGAGGGCTCAAAGTCCAACCCAAGCTGAAAATGCTGTGCCTGCTGAACAGGAACCACACTATCACCACCATAGCTCTTCTGAGGAACACCAACACCATAATGTTGCTGCTGATTATAATGATCAGTAGCAGTAGTTGCAGTAGTAGTAGCAAAGTGGTTGTCACCACAAGAATTACAATCCACAAGGTCCAAATACTCATCAACTTCCCCACTAAACAAAAACCCAATATTACTCTGCTGATTATTGTTGTTGTTGTTGTTGTTATTATTGTTGTTGCTGTTCTTCACAGGATTCAACAACAACCAAGAAGCTGCTTCATTCTCATCATCCTCATCCTCTTCCTCCATTTCACCAACAAACCCTTCATCTTCACCATCACCCAAAAGGGTCGCCGGAGGACCAGAGATCGGAAGGATCGGAACACGGTGGTGGCGGCCGGCGAGAGGGTTGGCGGAGTGGATGTCAGCATCACACGAAGAACACAGAGAAGCCGCATCAGCCTTACACAGAAACGCCGCCGGAGCACGCTCGCAAGCCTCACACACCCACACGCGCTCGTGACGCGACGCCACGCGGTTCGCCGCGTGGATGCGCGCGTCGCAGCCGGCGCAGAGGTACGCAGAGTCGGCGCGGCAAAACACCGTGCATGCGGCGGATCGGCACGTGTCGCAGATGCGCGCCCACGTGGCTGTGGCTGTGGCAGTGGTGGCGTCTTCTTCCAACATTTGTGGAGTGATGAGGTTTTTTTTTTTTGTAAATGTTGTTAGACTCAGACAGTGTTTTGGTTTTCCCAAGGAAGGAAAAATATATGAAGTGGTGTTGTGTTTCGCAGTGATTGTTGTTTCTGTTTTTGGTGGTCTTGAGAGGAGAGAAAATAGAAGGAGAGAGAATCAATGTGCGACACGTGGCGGAAAGTTAGTGGAGTGGGAAAGTTGTGACATTATCTAGCTTGTGGGTGGTTGTGCTTTGGTGTGGGGGCCATGTTTGAGTCAGAGGGTAAGGGTGGTAGTGTGGAATAAATTTTTCGTAGTACTCTTGGACCAAAGATTCAGTGCATTCCATTAATAAAAATATTATATGTCAGTTAAATTTACTTTTTTTTGTCAAATTTTTTTTTTCTCCTATAATGTTTAATGCTCTTATTGATAGGATGTACTGAATCTAAGTATAACCGTAATATCAAAGATTTATGCGATAGTGTGGTACTACTAGCCTAGTACTGTTATTACTGTGGTTGGTCTCCTTTCCTTTTCCCTTTTCCATAGGGAATGCTATTATACATTGCTACAACAACATTTAATATGAACATTACATTTGGGTTGGTTTGTTGTTTGTTTGCAAGACAGTGCAATCAGCCATGTGTGTGTTAGTTTGTATTGTTTGTGTATAGTGGTCAATCTCAGCCTCACGTTGCTCTTTCGTCACTAGGTTTGGTTAAACTTGTGTTACACTTGCTACGCCTTAGTCTTGGGCTAAAGCACCATTTTAAAATTTTTAGACAAAAGAATTGTCCGTTTAAAGTTGATTGGATAAGTTTTTCCAAAGTAATGCAGTCAAACATGTCACCTATGCTGACGGGACTAGTGCCGTCACTGATACTGACGGGACTCGTGCCACGTCAGCGCCACGTAGGCAGTCCAATTACCGTAAATCTTCGGAAGACCATAACTTGTGACTCGGGTATCCAAATCAGATGATTTTTTTTTATTTCATATAACTTTTCGAGATCTACGCAATGATACCTCATTTGACATATTTTATCTCCCACAAACATAGTTTGAATTTGTAACAATTGTATCACAATCACAAGAGTGTTTATCCATAAGACTATATTTATGGGAGATAAAATATATCAAATGAAGTGTCATTACGTAGATCTCGAAAAGTTATATGAAATCAAAACAAAAAATCATCTGATTTGGATACCCGAGTCACAAGTTATGGCCTTCCGAAGCTTTACGGTAATTGGACTGCCTACGTGGCACGAGTCCCGTCAGTATCAGTGACGGGACTAGTCCCGTCAGCATAACTGACATGTTTAACTGCATTACTTTGGAAAAACTTATCCAATCAACTTTAACCAGACAATTCTTTTGTCCAAAAACTTTAAAACGGTGCTTTAGCCCTTAGTCTTGTAATTAGAGATACTGATGCCTCACCAAAAATTCATCTTTGTTAAAGTGATAACGTGGAGCATGTCTTTCCATTAAAAATAAAAAATGAAGATCATGAGAGCATGTGGGTCCTCTTTCCTTCCCTTTAGGCCTTTATTATGTTGTAGCAAACTGACTTCGAGTTAGTTTTTGTTGTTTTGAATCAAAGGGAGGGGTTGAAAGAGGGAAATCTGCGCTTGGAGAATCTATATGGACGATAAAGAATCATAGTAAAAAAGGGCATACCTAATACCCAAACGGGAAGAAATCCTGCATGGGATGTGGGTAAAGTATATAATAGCACATCTACTTTTGTTTAATTAATTACTAAAATTTGCTAGCATATTATTAATTTGCATTAATTTGGCTCAAATGATTTGAATCCTAGGTTTCATTTTTTTTAATGTATACAACTTGGTTGACTACTTTTTGTTGACTAGCATTTTTAAATGATGAGAAGTGAACTTGTTTGTGAGTGGTTTCATTTTTTTTTTAACGTGAGTGGTTTCACTTCATATTTTATATTTGATTATATGTTGTATTGGGTTGGTAGCATGGGTGCTAAACAAACCAGGGGTGTTTGACTCGACTTGTGAAGACCTGAGTTTACATGTCTAAAATTGGTTGTTGGTACCAGACTTGAACTTGTATAAAAGTTTATTTAATAAAAAGGTCCCAGACTCCAATTCAAAAGTTCGGCCTTAGAGCCTCTCAGGCTGGCCTAATATATTATTATTATTTTATTTTATATTTTTTATACTACTTGTAATAGCCCTCTATTTTTCCTCAATCCATTTCACCCTATTTTATTGGTTAAACATACTTTTTTTCCTATATTATGTTATTTAGGTATACATTGAATTTATGAATATTTATAGAATTGCTAGTGTTGTTGATTGTATATTCTGTTTGGATAAATTTTTGTTGTTTTATTTTTTTAAAACAGGCTAAACCATGGTTTTATTTTTTGTAAATAAGTTAGGCCGGAGGCCGATAATTATATTTATAACAAGTAATAAGCTTAGTCAGACTAACATATTTAAACACAGATTTAGCATTTTAAGACCAAAGCTCGGCTCGGCTCGTTAATACTCCTAGTCGGTAGCACTGCCTTCTTTTATTATATTGCTAAATCATTTTAGGCTAAATCTTTTCTTATGTTACAGGCAATTTTTTGTCTCATGCCATAGAAACAATGTTCTGGTGGGTCCCACCATTTTTTTGAAAACATAAAAAAAAGTTAAAAAAAAAAAAACTATTGTGAGGTGACAGGAGATGATTTTTCTTCAATGACAGAAGAAAATCATCTCCCATCATTTTATGTCATAAGTGAGAATTGATTGTGAAATCTGTTTTCACTTGGACCAGAGTCCTAATATAATAACTTTGAATAATTAATTAAAATTTGGCATGAGAGACATTTTTATCACAGATCGACAAGTGGAAAACAATTGGGGCTGTGGACAAGTAAACAACGGTGCTAGTATTAACTAACAAGAGACGACTTCAATCCAGGGTAGAGTTGGGAGTTAGCGGTTGGGCTACTTGATATGAAGAATGATGCTGATTGCTTGAAAATTGAAATGAATATGTGTTAGGCAAGTATAGGAATGTATGTGTATTAATTACATTGGGGTAACGAAATATGTGTTTTTTTTTTTTTTTTTGTCAAAACACTAGAAGGTAGCAGAGATTATGATTTTGACCCACTGGCTCAAAATAATGGATATATGAAGCAATTTTTGTCAATGATGAGCAAGGCATTGAAACAGCACCTACCAATAAAATTTGTGGAACTGTTACATGGTGTGGAGCATATTGTGTGAAGCATCTCTATGTAAACATCAAAAAAGCGTGGTGGGGTAACTATTCTTAGAGAAAATGTCCTTGTAGCCTCAAAGATAAATTACATTTCTAGAATGCATGAGAAAAGACAAATTGGCTTTGTTGAAACAATGGCTAGTGAAGCTTAATTATGACATTAATGAATTCATCTCCTGAATGTAGGGTTAGATAATAAACAACATCTTAGGAGCATTCAATGGGATATATAGTAGATTCTTAGAGACAGGCGATCAGCTAATGATTTCTATATTCGAGGGGATTCAAGGTTCTGTGATGACTAAATTTGCGAATAGTTTGTTCATATATATTTATTTATTTTTACAAGGATGACACAAAGATTTCAACTATTAGAGAGATATAATATAAATAATTATTAATGCATTTTAAAAAAAAATAACCTCATTTTAAAAGGAACTTTAATTTGTTGTTGAACTTGAAGCCTTGTTCTTGCATACGGTAGAGTTTGCTAGGGTTGCCCAGCGTGCATACTTTATCCTGCTAAAGGGAAGACACGTGACGCCTTGACACTAACTATTTTGTTGCCTATAAATGGAGAGAATGCGTGGCCACTAATTGAACTGCCGAGAAAAAAGCAAAGAGAAGTGAAATATGGATTATCGAATCTATCTAAATGAGTTGTCTAATGAATTGTTTTTTAGGGATATGTTTGGATGAAGGATTTTGAAGGGAAAAGAAAATGGGGTAGATCTTTTATTTCTGAATTAAGAGAGTTATATAGTATTTATTAAAAAAAATATAAATGATGATTGGAAAGTTACATGATAATTTATCATTTTAAAAAAAATTATTAAATAAGAGAATATATACTTAAAATAAAAAATACATTTCCACTTTCTTTTCTTTTTTAAAAAAAAAACTTCCTAAACATATTTAAAAAAATAGTAAAAGATTTGTGTTAAATAAATTTTGAATAGTATTAATTACTTGTAATTTGTTTATGTTCTTTACATTTTTATAAAGACTAAATAGTGATTTACATCGGATTAAATTACTTTTAAGAAGCTTATAATGGAAAATCTGCATGACTACATGTTTAATGCGAATATAAATACCCTCAACCTTTGACACTAACATGATTGTCATGCGGATATAAATAAAGAAAATGTTATACTTATTATTTATTTATTTTACTATCAAATTTTAACTGTTGATTTTCGTCAATTTAACGATTATAATTTATTGAAATTTAATAATTAATTAATAAGTGTGATCCAATAAATTTTAATCATTAAATTAACGAAAATCAACGGTTAAAATTTAATAATAAAAGACAGTAAAAAAATAATAATGAAGATAACATTTTCTTTACAGTACAACACATCAGCATCCCCAATGCTGACTTGTCTCAACCTTATTTACCATACGTTGTTGATGTGGAGCACTCTGAATGGCAATGCTTCTTCAACCACAACAACAGAATTAAGGAGACTCAGAAACACATCGAATATCAAATAGCCACGTAGGAACCCAATAGATTAGGATGGATGTACACCACAAGGGTTGGTTGTCCTGGCTAGTATGCTGACCCTTATCTTTTCCCTTCACATGGCATGTGGGTCACCCAAGAGGTTGTTTTTCATCAATTGCTGCTCCAACAAAACAAAAACAAAAATGAATGTTCCGTTCCCTTGTGATATCAATCAGGGCTCAAATATTTACTTTGTGTGGTGGGGGGACTAATTCAAATTTGCTTTGGCTTCTATCATGATACTCTTTCCAGGGAGATTGATGTATACAGTACTCTTCTCATTTAATGTGTTTCTTTCTTTATATCCTTTTTCTTTCTTTTCTTTATGTTGTTGTTT